CAAAATTTAAAAAAAAAAACGAACATTTTCAAATTCAAATGAAAGCAACTCATCGGAACTTATGCTATACTTTAACAAATGTAATCCGTTCACGATTTTTATGGAGACTTTTTGTTGGATCGATTAAATTGTAATGTTCTTTTATTTTTGTTCGCATCTTGAGCCAAAATTTTGTTGTAATCATCATATATTCATAACAATCCGTTAAATTTAAAAAGTCATCGATAAGTGTATACTTATTAAAGCGTGGACAGCGTGGTGTGTGCGCTTCAAAAAAGTTCAAGATGGACAAGGAGAGAAAGGCGTCAAAGTGTGAATTAGATATGCGGATGCATTTACTGAATTTACCATTTCTTTTCATTCGAATGCTCATTTTAGATGGTGCTTTAATTAGCCCAAACGTTGTAACACCAACTCAAATGCACAATTCGCCAGACATCTTGGACCGAATTAATATTGGGACTTCCTTCACATCATACTTTATGGCCTGTATTTTGTTGTTGTTGCATTTTATTTTTTATAATTTTTTTTTTCGTAACTCAAGACACGCAGCAATAAGATGATGTACTGTCGTGCCACATTCTTTGAACAATAAATACAACGAAGAGATGATAGCATATTCTCCAATATATTGCAATTGTACGCAAAGACGGAATTGCAGTACGAAAGCCGGAGCAAAGAAATTAATATAAACCGAATCGAAGAGAAGAAGAAAAAAACCACACAGCAGCAGCAGTAGCAGCAACATCAAACTTATAAAGAATATGTAACACATACAAATGCATACATTTAGCCGCAATACTTTAACTTGATGGAAACAATCATGTCATTTAGCCCAACAACATAAAGAAATAAACAGGGGAATGCGTTTGTTTCTACCAAGCAACGCGCTCCATAAGCCATTCGATCGGAGATTAAACGCATCACATGCGAAACGACGAAACGCCCGTGTTTCAGAATGAAAGAACATACTTTTTTTCTTCTTCAAAAATATAAAGAATATAGTGGATGGTTGTCGAACCGGCGTATATGCTGTTTTTTCGCTCTCTTCCTCTATTTTTATTCCTTATTATTTTACTCTTTCATGGCTTGGCTCTTTGTTGTTTGGACTTTTTGCTTGCTGTTATACATATATGATATATGTGTATGTTTTTCTTCTCCAAAAAAATAACTCTCTCATTCTGCACATGCTGATTTTCTGTTTCTCGCCAAGAGCCCTGAATACACAGAGAACGAGAGAGAGAAAGATTTCATACGAATAAATAGCGCTTTTGAATACATTCGATGCACATTGACTATGCGTGCATATAACTTCAAAATTCGTTCCCGATTTGTCAGAACTCGTTTCCGATTTGCCCATACTCGTAAGCGTAGCCAAGACCATACATGTGTATGCAGATGTGTGTTTATTTCTCTCGCCAAAAGAAATATACACGGTGTTCAAATAACAACAGAGTGCTATAGAACAGTATAGCGGGCAAAAATACACAACAATGTGCAAATAAAAACGACAGAAAGCGCAAAAAAAAGTTGTCATGCAAAGAAATGATGATGCGAATTTCATTTTAACGTTCAACGCCATTTACCTATTTTGTTCACATCATTATAAACGGGTAGTGAGTTGTTGGTCTAGAGCAAAATCTCTTAATATCGAGTTCTTATTCTGATTTTGATGATCGGTTTTTTTATTGTCTTCTTTTTTGCATTTTAATTTGCAACTATCTTAATCGGAGATAGTGTTTTGAATAGTGGCTTGTTCGGATCCATAATCATAATAATGCATTTTATAATTCAATTTCAACGATTCTATTGACGAGAAAAACGAGATTGAAACCAAATTATAAAAGATGCGTCGGTAATAAAATGTGTAATGAAAAACAATTGTCATGAAATTTTGAGAGCATTTGCTTAATGAAAATGTCGCGTAGTCATTTAAATGAACTGGTAAATTTTTCTTCGCTTACCTTTCTTGCTTAATCTCTTTTTTTTGTCTGTGTCAATAATTTGCATTTGTTTACACCTTTTAACTGAAATTTTTGTTTATGCACGTCAATTTTGGCTTGTAGCAAATATCTTTTGTCTCTTTTTCTTTGCATTGTTTTGACTGACGACTGACCTATTCACGATTAGACAGGGAGCACATTGAATTCGAAAACAGAATTCAAGCTTAATTAAGCAACAATATGCACAATCAAAATAAATACAACATTTAAACAAATAAAATGCGCTACAGTTGCGTCAACAGAATCCACAATTGATTTGAACACAGAGAATTGTTAGAACAAAACAGATAATCTTGCGATTAAGATGAACAAGTACAAAAACAAACATCCAGTTGACAAATAGAGAAAACGCCATATATATGGCATCACCAAGATGCATGTGAATGACTTTCTTCGATGACTAAGAATCTTTTTGTTTAATTGTGCCAAGAATGAATAAAAAATTTCAACAAAAAAATTCAAATAGGTAAGCAAACCATCAATGAATGTAAACATCTTATCTGTGACTGAACATATCGCAATCAAAATGTTGCATTTTGGCAATCATCGAACGCTATCAAACAATGAGCATTTTCTATTGAAAACCCACAACCAAGTAACGACAGCAACACCACCAATGCTATCAACAATCATAGCAACAACAACAACAACAATGGCAAACGTTCAAAAAACAAAAATGCGAAGCGACACATACACAACAGGTATGTGTCAATCAATGCAAATTACAGCGATATCAAAACATATTTTGTGTGCAGTTAATGTCGATGATATGATGTCAGCCATAATAGGTCAACAAATCTAAAATTAAATTTCATTCTTTATTTTTTCTTATTCTCTCTTTCTCTCTCTCTCTCTCATTCTTTCTTTATCTCTTCCTTTGTCTAAACATTTCTTGGCGAGCGAATGTCTCGCTCTCCGTGTGACTGTATTATGTTTGCATGTATGTTAAAGATCTTGTCTTTAAATCGCTAAATATTTGCCAGACAAGAGCCAGCGTCAAAATTGTTTCAAAGTAGAATAGATAGAGAAAAATCGACTGTAATATAATGCCAAAAATAGAAAGAGCGAAAAATATAACTCATCGTTTAAATTTGGAGTCGATCGAGTTGCTCGGTCTTAATAACAAATTTTTTACCCTATCCTCATTAAGTTGTAGATCTTCTGTTTTATTATCTGAGTAATACAAGCACAGCTTTAGAGGGAAGACATCGGCAGCAGAAGCCGTCAAATAAAACGCAGTCAATGCGACCGAAGTTTTGAAGTCGACTTGAAATCCAAACGAAAAATCTATAAGTGGCTGATTATTTTCAACTAATATTGCTGCGTGTGCTTGACGCAACCGACCATGTAATTTCTTTGTTTGAGAAATTATATTAATTGTGATTGACCATTAAAGATTGCAGAAATTATATTAACACGAATTAATTTTTGATGGTTGTGTTGTGCTGTACCACATATTCATGTCCTGTTTCCATGTACCTCAACGCAAAAAAGAGATGAATAAATCCAACTCAAGTATGACATCGCTTGAGACATTTCACAACCGTTGACGCTATACTCGATTCGGTTTTATTTATCGGATTGCATGGTTGTCTTTGTTGCCACAACCATCAGCATCATCAGCATCCGACATTTGTTCGAAGTTTAGACAAATTGTTGTGGAATAGTTGAACTTTTCGGGATGACCAAAGCCTTTGTTTTCGGTGCTGTGTATGTGCTGCATATTTACATTCAGTATCCGACTGTACCGCATACACCGTTATTGAATACGATGTGAACGCTCATACATATAAAAAGATTTATTCATGCGACGATGAAGACGGCTTTCATACAAACATAAGCCCCGATGAATGCTATAAAATGCGCAAAGTATGGTTATACATTTCTTTGTTGCTTTATATTCATCGCGATCGTTCGCGAAAGAGAGAACGAATGCGATTGTGTAAATGTCTGAATGTATGTATGCATTGTGTATATGTTTCCATTTTAATGGATTGAAATTGAATTTCGATACAGACAATTCATGAATTTTAAGATTTACTTGCAATATAAAGCATCTTCGCTTATTTACCCATCACAGCAGCAAATACACGCATAAAACAACAACAGCAATTGCCAACATACAACAATGCAACTCAAATAAATTCATATGCATCGAATGAAATGTGATTACTGACTAGTAAAGGTTAATTGTGTCGCTTGAAGTACACTTCGATAATACCGGACAAAAATGTATTTTTTTTTCTATCGTTTTTTAGAATAACATTTCTTATGATACAATGTTTTTATTTCTGACTTTATCTCTGATTTACTATCACAACGAATAATAACAAAAAATGCACACCAATTCAGACAGTATGAGAGAGCGTATCCGTGCAAAGAATCATCATGCACATAAAAACGTATGTATATAGATAAATGCATATACATCAACAGCGACAGCAACACATTCACACTCAGCTCCCCTCGAATGAATTGCAAGCGGCTGGATCGAAAGATCGAAAAGCTGTACGTTTCACTGCTTCTGCTTGCCAGAATACAGAGAGTGTAAGAGAGAGAGACAGAGAGAGAGAGAGAGAGAGAGAGAGAGAGAGAAAGAGGAAAAAATGCAAGACAGTTTCTGTGGATTCAAATCGAGTGCCGGAACAAAAATTACTTTGAAATTAAGCAACCGTCTGGTTGCCATGGTAGAAGTCCAGACATGATGCGCTCACCAAAAACCATTTACTCATTTATTAATACTATTTCATTATATCTTTCCATTATTATTCTTTTTTCTTTCCTTCAATTATTTACTTATATATAGATGTATTATTATTATTTTTTGTTGGATTCTTTTGTTCTATTATTATGCGTGTATTTTAATGATAATTCGGTATGATGCAGTATTGGGAAGTCTCAAATGTGGTTCCACACATCATGGCCATTTCGAATCGATGTGATTTCAAATAAATAGACAAAATATATAATGTAATTGCAATGTATTCAATGACCTACCTAATGTTATATTGCTTTCAGCTTGAGCCTAAATGTATTAATTTTGACGATCCGACGATGTTGCCTTATTTTCACGTTGTGAAGCGTGTGTGAGTTTGTTCACTTGTCTATTTATGTGTTGTATTCACTCCACGGTTGTATCGTTTTTATAGCGATACATAAGCGCTAACGAAACTGTAGTTTTCGGTAGTGGCGCGAATAGTTGTGCTTTTCCAATGATTTCAGACTGCGCAACTGAATTGAAGGTTTACGAGAAGGAGAGATGAAATAAAAAAAAGACCAACCAGAATGAATGACTCTTCACAACAGTCTCTATATGAATGGTTTCCGTTTGTACTAGTTTCACTATGCTGCAGTCATTAAATTCAAAGTACAACCAAATAATAACAAAAAAAAAAGCTTCGGCGCGAGACTTTTTAAGTTTCGTACGGTTTATAAAATTTCGCGTGTTTGTTTGTTTTATCTGTAATTTAACGATAATACTATTTCCCCATTCGTTGATCCCGAACGTAATGTTATGTTTTCTGTAATTTCGGATGGCATTTGGCGGTTGTAGCTTTGTAGTAGGACGGATTTTCGACTTGTATGCAGTTCTCGCGACCCTTAACAACTCTTTTCCTTTTTTTTAATTTTAATTTTTCCTCTATTATCCACTGACCGCTTTTTTGGTCTCATCTCTCAATTTCCATCGAATATCTTCTTTTTTTTTTGACGTTTTTATTCATTCATTATTTTTGCACCATAATTTCATTGTCCGATGCGGTAACTGAGTTTTTTTTCTTTTTCTTCTTTCATATATATTATATGTGTGTTCAGTTCGTATGATCTTTTTTTGTTCTTGTTGTTATTTCCGTCTGTCTGCCGGATCTATCTTTCACACTTTTCAGTTCCGATTTCTCTTTCTCTACGATTGTATAGATACTATATGCACATATTTCCGAACGAAGAATATTTCATTTGCTTCGTACACCAAAACGTAAAAAATACCGAACCGAAACACAAATGCAATTACGTATGTAAGCGGTAAAGATTAGTAACACGGATTAGGAAAGCACTTAAATCGGTAAAGTATATTTTATTCCACCAGATCACAATGTTTTATTATAGTTTCACGGTAAGCATTTGTCCTTTGTTTTATTATATGTCTTTCGTTCTGTCTTCTTCTTATTATTTTTTTTACCTCTCTTTCAATTCGATCGCACTTAAGATGCAGTAAAATAATTATATAATTTGTTAATGATTCACATAAAAATTGTCCGCGAATTGAAATAAAGATATGAACAACATTAGATTGGCGGCCTGGTTTTTTACGTTTGAACTCTAAGCGATTTCTTAGCCTCAGTCTACTTATTGTATACAATTGTAAACTAAAAAAAACTTGATTCAAATCAAACTCGAATATTTAAAATAAAAAAAAATTGTAATTTAAACTTAGGAACGAAAAAAAGAAATTGAACTATTCCATTTGAACTTTTAAGTATTAAAAATATTACGTTTCGTGTTTGCATCATTCACAAGACTGTTTTGCACAATTGAATTCATTTAGAAATGAACAAAATAATAATTATAATAATGTCACTAAAATATGTTTGGTGTTCACACGCTTTGTTAATCCTTTTTTTCTCTTAAATTCTTCTCGTTTGTGGACTCTTGTATTTTTTTCTTTTTTAAATCTGGATCTCTCTTGTTGAAAATATATTTGCAATATAATATAAATTATGATGATCGTCGTCGTGTCGAATATATATTTAGTTTATTTTTTTTCCGTTTTATTATAATATCGATTCTTGTGGAAATACAAATTTGTGTGTATATATTGTAGTATCGTTTTTCGATCAAAACTTGGTGTTGCTTGTAAAAAAATTTTGTGTGTGCTAAAAAGATTCTAAAATTATACTGCTTATTTTTTGAAGACGGCGGCGATTTGCAGTAGCTCTTAATCGTCCGCGCTCAACTTTACTAGTGCAACAATATTGCTTCAACGAAATAGACCGCGACCCATACCCGTTGACTGCTCTGTGCAAAATACATTCTCACAGACACATATTCCGCCTAAGTATTGCGATATGTGCATGACAAAGAAAAACACAACAAGACTGTCGCTTTTCCTCTCCTTCTTATCCCAACAACGAGCGCTATATTCGAATCGTTCTCATCATCATCATCACAACACCATTTGCCGCATATATATGTACATTCTATACATACACGTTTGCATTTCATCAAAACTGAATCATGGAACATTTACAGCCGATGCGTTTGTATACGTGGATCGAGTCTAATAGGCGCGTATGCGGTTAAAAAAGAACAACAAAGCCAGAGCGAGAGAAGACTTTTGCACAATTCTTTTTTCGCCTTTTTTAATATTCAACAATTTTTCCCCAAAAATGAAAATCCAAAAGCCACAAAATTGATAAAATATCATTTGATTTCAGTTTTCTTGAAATGGCGATTTCAAATATAAATAGAAAAAATACGATTTAAAAGCTCATTTTCAAAATAAATAAGATTTTTTTTGGCAGATTTCTTTGACAATTCCATGCGATAACACAGTCTATTTTTAATGTGTAGAAAAACATGTTCGCTTATCGAGTGCATTCACACGAATTTGACGATCGTTGTAATTAAATGTGTGAGCGGCAAATGTTTATGGAGCCGCCGATAAATTTCTATCCGCTGGATAAATGTATTCTAAATTGTTTTGTTTCTGATTTTGTTTTTTTTTTTTCGCCATCGATCATTAATGAGAATGGAGCTTACAAAAGTGTGGAGGCGTTGTTTTTGAGACGATTATTATCATTTACAATGGGTCAATTAATACTGGCTGTTGAAAGGAGATCGGGTTTCTATTTATGCTCCATTATCGGATAATCATCGATCCGATATGATTTTTCCAACAACTTTTTCTCGATTCTTCAATTGAAAAATTAAGTATCATAGTAGTTAGCATTTATTTGTTTAAAATGAATAACTTTTCAAATGTGACGGAGAGCATTGTCTCATTCTTTAACAAACATAAGCACACACAAACCTTATCTCTATCTCTCTCGCTTATTCGATGCAATTTATTTAGCCGATTCGTTTATTAAGTGCATACAAATATATATATACATATATGTGTGTCTTGCATGTCTCATTATGATAACTTTTCACATATTTGATTCGAGTATTATGAGTGCACAATCGCAACTCGATAGAGAGAAGACCTATAAAATTTTATTCGTCGGCAGCCAAATGTTCAGCAATGTGTATGTTATGTTTGTTTGTGTGCATGCCACTCACATGTATATTTTTGCAACGAGAAATGGATGATGGATTTGGTACTACAATATATTTTGTTGTTGTTGTTTGAGTCGAGAACCCCATTGTATTCACTAAATTATGTGCTACCACTTTTCTCGTCTCATCATGCAAATCGCACCAATGTTCATATACGAATTCTTACACCTATAGCATTTTTGCATGCTTTCAGCTTGTCTCATGATAGCAAACGTGTCTTTCGTAAGACTTCTCTTGAAATGTTCTTCATCTCTCTTTCTTTCGTTCTAATTCAAAATGCACGCATTCATGATATATCATACAAGGGGCTTTTTATTATACATATTAAGATATACGTAAATACAATTTGTCTTCTTGTTGGCTCGCATTTTATTTGCCATATGCGCTTAAATGCTTCTCAGACACATTTTTCGTGGACAACTATAAATGGATAAAAAAAAATTCGTTTTTTTACCGCTGATCTTAGTCCTTTCAATCGTGTCTCTATCACTTCTTGGTCTCTCTCTCTATCTATCGATTCATGTATCTTTTTTGACCGTAACCGTTTGAATCGCAAAATTAAAAGAATCATACGGAAATTGCAATCACTGAAAATGAAAAAAAAAAAACGATTATGCTTTCTGAAGCAGAAATACATTTTATTTACAAATTTTCTAGCAAATTAATCCGCTAATCATAGTTTGATTGCTGTATTGCAGCAAATATAAGATTTATAATAACTGATTTCTTTTCCCCAATGTAATATATTATATCAAACATGTGTTTTAATCTAAAAATTAATGAGTTCTCTATATAATTGAATCGGATCATAATCGACCAAAAGAAGAGCCGAAATATTTCTAGAGCATGTATTCGTGTTCGAGTTTGTTATTTTTTCGTTTTTTGAATCATTTAATGTTTTTTTTTTCTTCTTCCCTAAATCAAAATCCAACAAACCAGATTTAGAGAGACAAACAATGACCGAAGAAAGATGCAGAGAACAGATGAGGAAAATAGTCTCGGACTAAGATAGTAAAGTACCCCATAGTCCATTGCATTGCATCACAAAGGGGTGAATAAAATGATTACTTTTTTTTTGCTTCATAATTTTGAGTTGTAAAATGTTAAAAAACATAAAAAGGTGGATGCTCGTTTTGACCGAATGAAACCGGCAAAATTATGGTATAATACGCAATTGTATCGAATAGTATTTGCTTGACAGCTTTAGACAGGTTTCCACATTTGTGTTAGTAACTCTTTTTTTCACAATAGTTAAAATAGTTAAAGTTTTAAAGCACATTTTTTTTCTCTTCTCTCACGTTTTTTTTCTTGTTCCACCGTATTCAGAGAGTCATTTTCATTTAAATACGGTCATTTTAAATCAACTCTTTTCATCCCTTTAAATCGCCGCCACAGGAATCTTACCGTCGTTTTTTTTTAAAAATTTCTAAAAAAATATCGTTTTTAAGCTACTTTGTGACGGTGACGATCACATGTCTGAACGTCAATATTAGAATATTATTATTACAGTGATTTATTTTTTTCTTTGCTTTAATTTTTTTTCTTCTTTGGACTGAATGAATTTGTGCATGTGAAGCAAATGGAACGTGTTATTTTAGCAAGAGTCTCATCGTTTGAACATTTTAACACTGTTGTGACGATGTGGCTTCAAGTCGGTCGATATTTTGGCGCTTCATTTTTACAATATCCTTTCTTTTGTGAAGCGGAACTTCCTAATCAAGTTTCATGTTATTTAAAGTTCATATGAAAGAGGCAAAAGAAATAATGATAGTCTTTGCTTGCTGAAGCAGCCAAGAATAGAATTTCTATCAAGCGACAAGTTTGACAAGCAAATAATTTCGGTGAGACTTTTTTTTTGTATCTACAACTACATCGCTGCCTGAACATTAATATTATTCCATATTTTATTATGCATCAGTATCACCATAGCCAACGAAGCTGAACCGACCGAATCAAATGCATTGCATTGTTAATAAAAATCGACAATTTATTGAATATAAACATTATTGCTCTCTAAATATTTACAAATGACAAACATTGTATGCATTCAAAAATCATGTTTATTGGTCTGTAACATTAAAACCCGTTCAAATTTCACAATCGATAAATAAAGCGCAGAAATGACCGTTAGCAAAATCAATAAACATTTCAATGTGTATTATAAAGCCAGTAATAATACACTCGGTACGCCAGATGATTCCAAAAAAACATTCGAATCGGATGATGATCTTTATTCATGCATATTCCGAATTTTGTCATGCAACCAGATGAACAAATGCAAAAAAAAAATCCATCCAAGATGCGCACAACTATTGCTGTGGTCCAAGATAGACCAAACAATAGGACGCGCACCCTTTTCGTGTGCAACAGTGAAAATCGAAAAACTTAACTTACAAGAAATGTGTATGTGCGTGCGCGCGCAGTTTGAGCCAACTTACAAAGTTACTTACAAAGTGTTTGGTTTGTTTCCTTTCTCTTGAATCCTTCATCATATGTGGATTTGTGTGTGTGTATTTTTTTTGTTCATTTCATTTCTGCTCTTCTCCATTTTACGAGCCGTCCATTGCCATTTTCACATGTATTTTTTTGTCCGTTGATCCCTTCGTCTCTATCTTTTGCACGATTCGGCCATTTAACTCTTTGCTGGCTTTTTGCGAATATTCACTGCGCTAAATATGTTGAATGGCCGAACCCGATGTGTTTATGTAGATCTATGTATATTATATTGTCGATATATATGATGATGAATAAATGTACCTTTCGTCTTGTTTTGTTTTCTTTTTGTCTTTGAACTTTTCTCTCATCTTTTTATTTTCGTTCTTTGGCCGTAGAATTCATCTTTCGGTGTTTTTTTTTATTCGTTGTATTTCATCCTCATGTCAATGCAAAATGTGCAAGGAATTCAGAGTCGACAACAACGCGTATACGGGAAAATCGCTTTAATCAAAATATCCAGTTTTAATTCCCACAGATTCGATGTACAATGTCGTACAATGCAGAACGAAAAGAAGAAAAAAAAACATCCTTTTTTAATGCAGGCATTTTTGGTGAGCTGTATCATCATCTGTTATTTCATTATTTTTATACAGATTTTTACACATTTGCAAGGGTTGATGTTGTTTGGTTTTGGGGATTTTTTTCCATGTCCACCTCAAAATTGTAGGAATACATTGAACATCTAACTGAACGAAGCAGGGCATATCAAGGCATACATAACATTTTAGAATATACCTATGAACACATTTTTCATAAAAATGCTGTAGATTGAATGATTCGTTTCCAACCAAAAAATCGTCGAACAAAGTCAAATTTTGAATCAAAATTACAATATGGTTTTCGTTCAATTGCAATTGGATAAATATAGACGGACAATATATTTTCAGCAAAAACCAGTTGCATTTTATTACGGTGACGATAAAAAAAAACATTGACTAAACAAAAACGCAGGAAAAAAAACAGGAGCAAGAAAAGAAACGGTGGTGAGTAAAAGGTTCACAAGTTGAAGCACATTGTGAGACTCACAATGTGAGTGTTAGTTTTTTTTTGTTGCTTTTCGTCGGGTGAGCTTACATCTGTTAAAATGAATTTTTTTTTCGGGTTTGGCAAGTGAATACTTGCGCATTTATTCGATCCTCCTGAATTGGTTGAATGTTTAAAGATTTAAATTAGAATAAGCTAATTGAAGAAAACTTATCCGAAATATTCGAATGGAATGATGTCATATTCGTGATGAAAATGTCGAATTTGCCAATTGAAATATAAATACCAAAATCAATTAACAATAGCATGTAAAAAACCGTGTAAAATATAACGGCCAAATTGTGCGAAATGCACCATCGTTCGACATAATACCAAAGTAAACTTCAATGGAAAATTTTGTTTGCTGTTACTGCAATTGGCGAGTGCAAGAGAACTTTCAAATGATGGAAGAGCTAGAGAGAGAGAGAGAAAGAGAGAGAGAGATAGAGCGCCGTAAATGCAATTTTCAAATTGACATCTTCAAAAGATATTCAACGAATTTCTTTTTCCCTTCAACAATAGATATTCATATTATATGTATTTCCGATGTCAATGACCAAAACAAGTTGCGTGCATAAGATTAGCTAAATGAATGCACTTTTGTGTTCAGTGATTTACTCTATGTAGGCATTTTTTTTTTTATAAATTCAAAATGCAGACGCGACTGCGAACGAAAGTTGGTCGAGGAACTGATTAATGGAACAAACAACAATTGTGCATTGTTCCGTCATGCAGCGCTTAACTCTCAATTATAATTCATTTCATTCTTTTTTCTCTTATTGCTGGATTTTCTCTTCATTTTTGCGTGTAAGTTCTGTTTTTTTTTTTCCTTTATAGATCTGCAACCGATGGCAGACTAGCCATAGTGCATCGACGCATGTTGAAGTGTAACAACGGCACAAGGAAATAAAAAAGCGACTGAGATACAGAGAGAGAGAGAGAGAGCGACAGAGCAAAAAAAATATATGCCATACGGTATAGATTATAATGTATGATGCAACCAAAACCGTCGTACGATGTAAACTAAGTAATAAGCGCATTGGAACTAAGAAAAATATTCCGTAGTCGTCAAGCCGTGTGCATAATACTTCTTGGACAGCAAACGGCTGTATATGCAATACGCGTTTTACGTTTTAAATTCGATTTATTATATTATATTTTTTTCGTTCGTTCGTTCGTCCGTTGGGTTTTTTTTTCGTTTAAGTTACCCTTCCTATTTTCTGCAAAAGCAAAATATATGTGCGTTCAGTGATGGATAAAATAAAAACAATCTGCAGCAACTAGCGATCGAAACAAAGGCGAACGCGGCACATTTTAGTTCATCCATCAACATGCGAGAGAGAATGTTAGCATTCATAATTATGAATACAATGAGAAGGAAGGCTGCATTTCTATTTTGCAGTAAAGCAACAACAGCAGCAGTTCACTTTGGTTCGGTGTTGCGAGGCTCGTTGTTCACGCTCTCCTTAAAAGAAAATGCATTTTACAATTTAATTCATTCGATGCAGAAGCAGAATTCTTTCTGCACATGCCGTTTGGCCATTGTTGCCGCGCACATTGAACGCAATACGAATGAAAACGAAAACAACAACCGCGATAAGGGTTGAGATAGAGAATAAAGACTAAATATCATGACACTAGTTATGCGGATTTTTACCCTTATTTTTCAATCTTTTTTTTTCTCTCACTCGAATCACATGCATTGCAATGCATTCAATTGCATTTGCATTTGCATTAGATTTTCCGTAAAAAATGCGTTTTGTTGTCATACACATATGTAGAGAATTTTCCCGCTTTTTTGCGTAGAATAACACAATTTTTTTTACAACAACGTGTTCATTTTCTATGCATTCAATCGATCCCTTACTGCAGCTCAACATATAACCACTCATTTTAACATCTTGCACATTTTAATGCGTTTTTTTTTCTACTTTCATATGCACACGAAATGCATCAGAATTATATAAAATGTAATATTTAAAAAAGAAATAGTAATGCTCAACAGACATGTCCATCCGTTGAAAGCGTCTTATTTTCTAGATTAACAACGCAAGATACTATCATCATGCAATACTATACACATTGTTGTCGAACACGTCTTACATTAGATGCAATTCTAACCCGATTTTTTGTGTGTGAAAAATTAAATTGGAGGGCTGCTATTTTCTTCATCGCAGATCAACGGCCGTTTGGCCGAATAAATCCACATGTGTTTGTGTTGTTTTTTTTTTCTAATGTTTTCCATAATCAAGCAGACATCCGATGAGTGATTCATGACTTTGTATTTAGTACTTTTATGTGATTTTGTCGGTTGGTTGGCTTACATTTTTTCTTTTTTCCAACGCTCAATATTTGCTTGTTTCCATGCTTTTGTTTTGAGCCATATTTATTTCGCTATTGACCGTTGCGTATGCGTTAATAAACCTTTGGTCTTTCTTGAATGCAATTTCTAGTGTATGCAATTGCAATTTCATTTTCCCACAATTTTAAAAGTAATTGTTGTTTTTATTCGGTACAGCTCTCTGCTTTATTTATTTCTCTTTTCTGTGTAAAACATGCTGAAATGAGCACAAAAAAAATCCTTGCACACCGGAATCGCCGCAGAATTTAGCAGATGCTAGACACCGGTTGAATCGTTGAATGTTTCTGTCGCGGAAATCGATTTCTTTTGTTGAATGAGTTGCTCTTCTGTTTCATGACAAACAGATGAAACGAGAGAAGAAAAAAAAACTAAAAAATATATATAGCGTCCAACACAAAAACACACCACTCTCCCTGCAATGCGTAAAAGGATGAGTATCATCAAAACTGCAATGCGAGGTGTCACAATCTGCATCACATTCAAGTCCCGTCCTTTTCATATATTTCCTATACAATCTTAAGATTTTATTCATAACAAAAGTGTGTGATTTTTTTTATGTTGTTGTTGTTATTTCTTTTCGTTTTTCGCTGAAAAGCAAATGAATAAAATAACATTGCAAACGATTGAGTAATTTTTTGTTTTGTTCATATCAAATTGGTTTGTATTTTGAGCGAATCTCATAAATTCAAGTGGCCGCTGCAATATTCCTTCTTCCATTTTGATGAGGAACACAACGGCACACAGAATGCCCCCCCCTCAAAAAAAAATATTTTCCATTCGTTATACATCGATCAAAAAGACACGACACAGTGAAAGCAAATGATGTTGATGCCGAGTACCATGGTTCCTAGAGACGAAAACGTGAAAAAGAAAACATGTCATCATCAAAGGTATATCTGTTTTAATCAAATTTCGCTTGTTGCAAATATACATATACGATGCCACATCAATGTGGATTTAACTTTCAATTCGTATATTGACGCAATGGAAACCGAACAACAAGACTTGTTGTTCACACAACGTACACACACACACACACGAGATATATTCAGAACACAACAATGGACAAAGGATAAACATTGAAGTTTAAATACATACGGCAGATCACCGGATGTGCATTTTAATACGCGTTCTATTTATTGTATCTCAGTGCGTCGTCCATTCAATGCATAGACATATTCGGCTTTTGTGTGTATAAAAAAATTAATGCTCTTGCAACAACTCAAACCAAAGATGAAGAGAAAAAAATTAATTCGTACGATCGTTGCTTTGCGTTCTCTTTTTTCGTTGCATTCAAATTTTTGAGCAATAATAATAATTGTTCGATCACAAAAAAAAGGACAGAGAGAATTGTGTTATACGAATCAACTAAATTCGATCGAAAAATGTTGTCATTTCCATTCTTGATTTTCTTTTTTATTTTGCCATAACGTCATTGTGACGAAATATCAACATCTCACACATTTTCCCGCCGTTAGTACATGTTATATTTAAAAAAAAAAAGGTGAAATATCTAGTACAAAATCCAGTACACAATCTAATTTAATCATACCAATCGACAGTACATCATTACGAACGAGAAGCAAATAATGTAATGTGAAGTTATTGATGCAGACCAAATGGCAGTTAAACCACTTGTTGCTGCTATTGTATTCAATAAGTCAATAAGTGCAGGTAGTAAAAATTTCAAATGGTTGAACCTTTTTCTCGTTCACCTTCTTCCTTATACTTTTCACATTTATTGTCTATGAAGACTGAAGAGTGCTATAAAATCATTTAGCAATTGTTAAAAATGACATAGACATAGATTTTATTTTTGGGCCAACAAACAGAATGCAATCAAAGTCCAATGACAGTTAATATGGTGTATCAAATGTGCATTTTGAAATGCTTTAGCAAACCCAAACCCAAACCCAAACAATCTAAAGCAACAAATGTTGCTTACAATCACAAAATGCAGTCAATTGTTAGAAATCGAATCAATATCAAAACGAAGATACCAATTCGATTCGGGCATACTAAAGTATAACATATTAACGTCTATTCTATCGTTACTCTTTATCAAATTCATTCGCGTCGATGAGTGTTGACTCACATTCACACATACATTGTGCTCCATGCATGAGAGGCACACAAAAAAATGTGAATAGCATATATATGCTGTTGTACATTGTTCATCGCAATGCGTATCGCTTGGGTTCATTTTCATTTCATGTCGGTATAGTTGTGGCGTCTGACCAATGTCGGTGTGTGTATACGATTAAATATCATGCACATGTGAAATGTTTTAATACATAAACACCGTGCATTCGTGTATACAAACACACTCAATCCATTCGTTTTATAAAAAAACCGAATAAAACACGTCGTCCATACGCGAATCATACGTACGAGTAAACGAAACACCGACACCCGAATGAAAGAGAAAACGAATAAGAAGCGTATGCGTGTGTTTTTCGGCGTTATTAAAATAAATATTGCTTACGTTCGTGTCAGCGTGTGGTTTTTTTTTTATTCATTTACTTGTACATATATGTTCTGTCGCTTTCTGTGTGTCTGTTTATTGTTGTTGCGTTGTTAATATATTGGAAGACAAACACAAAAGTCAAAACGTTAATCAACGAACATGGTTGCCATGTTATAGAAGGGCGTTGTTGATCAAAATTGAAATTTTTTCGTTGTTTTTGTTCAATTTGTTTCGATTTTACATTTTATTCCAATTCAAAATTCAATTGATATCCAAGATATGTGCTTTTAATTTATTTTATTTGACATAAATTGTGAATAAGTGTGTTTAAAATATAAATAAAAAAAACCATCATTCGACCATCTGAATGTGTGACTGAGTCATTTGCGGTTGTTGATCGTGTTTCACAAAACAAATCCAGTGTGTGAATTATGGGTGTGACAGCGATTATTTGGCGCAGCTATTTTGGATTTGGCCTGTTGCTGTGTGCCACAGTTTTGGGACAATATGAATGGCAAGCACGAGATGCATTTGATGAAATTCGACTTAAAATGGATAAGGTAACGGGGGATAATTGCCAAATTCAACATTTGGGCGATCTTTATTTACCTGATGACGCTGTATCGCATCTTATTGATATCAAAGAAATCAACATCAATCCCGTATTTCCGAATCGAACTGCATTATTACACTTACACAATATGGCTTTGAGTCGATCATTCTTTTGGAGTTATATTCTACAGAGTCGTTTCATTCGACCAGCAATCAATGATACATACGATCCTGGAATGATGTATTACTTTTTGTCAACGGTTGCCGATGTTTCAGCAAATCCATTTATTAACGCATCGGCCATTTATTTTTCACCAAACAGTTCGTTCTCATCATCTTATCGTGGTTTTTTCAATAAAACATTCCCATGGTTTGCACCGCGTACATTCCGAATGGATGATTTCAATGATCCCATTCATTTGCAAAAGATTTCCACAATGAATACATTTGATGTTCGAGATTTGGGCGCCATTCCAAGCGGTTCATTGTCCAAAGATTATACAACCGATTTTTATAAAATAAACGAATGGTATCGTCTGTGGTTGCCAGACGATGTTGAGAATCGTCATGATACTAAAACCACCTATCAAGTTGAGATTCGATACGCAAACAATACAAACGAAACGTTTACATTCCATGGACCGCGAGGTGCTGATGAAAATCCGGGCCCAGTTAAATTTACGCGACCCTATTTTGATTGTGGCAGATCGAATAAATGGTTGGTAGCAGCGGTTGTTCCTATAGCTGATATTTATCCACGGCATACGCAGTTCCGGCATATAGAATATCCAAAGTAAGTAACAACATCGATTTGTTTTTTTTTTTTTTTTTTTTTTTTTTTTCAATAAATATTTCATCAAAATTAAAGAAAGAGATAAGTAGCATAGAAAATGAAAGTGGTTTCTATTTTTAAATTCGATATGATGTGATTGATGCATTTTTTTTCTCCAGATATACAGCGGTTGCAGTACTTGAAATGGATTTCGAGCGTATCGATATAAATCAATGCCCTAAGGGCTCTGGTAATATTGGTCCAAATAAATTCGCCGACACAGCCAGGTGTAAGAAGGAAACGACCGAATGTGAACCGATGGATGGATGGGGATTCAGGCGTGGTGGTTATCAATGTCGTTGTAAACCTGGTTTTCGACTGCCAAGTCATGTGCGCCGACCATTTTTGGGTGAAATCATCGAACGAGCATCGGCCGAACAATACTACAATGGATTTGATTGCTCAAGAATTGGATGTAAGCATTTTCATATTTGCGCATGGAACTATTTCATTTCAAATATTAAATGAATTTATTTCGTCGTTATTTAAGGGGTACAAAAAGTGCCAATCGATTGGGAACGTGCACCGTATCATATACGTGAAAAATATTTGGACATGCACTCTGAATATCGGAATATTACCAAGGGAGCGGCTTCATTGCATCAAACCAAAATCAATGTTGATGCCGCTGTTAATTTTATTAACAGTGTAAATCCATCGTCGTGCCGAAATTTCCATCCACAAGATTTAATTCTTCATGGCGATGTTAGCTTTGGTGCTAAAGAGTTTTTCGAAAATGAAGCGAAAATGGCATTGCGTTTGGCCAATTTTATAAGCGCATTCTTGCAAATATCCGATCCAAATGAGGTGTATTCGGGCAAACGTGTTGCCGATCGGCCATTGACTGAAGATCAAATGATTGCCGAAACAATCGCATTGATTATGGGAAATACTCGAATTTGGGCATCTGGCGTCTACTGGGAACGAAATAAATTCACAAATCGTACACTTTTTGCGCCATTTGCTTACAAACAAGAGTTAAACGTTCGCAAATTTAAAGTCGAAGATTTGGCCCGTTTGAATAAAAGCAGTGAAATTTATACGGAAAAACCGTGGTATCGATTCTTAAAACAACGTTGGTCCACCAATTTTGATTCGCTGGAAAAACATTATATGAAAATTAAAATTCGACACAATGAAACCGGCGAATTCAATCAGAAATACGAACACTATCCCAACTTCTATCGGGCTGGCGATTTGAATTCTGGCTACTGGACAACACCCAGTTTCGATTGTCATGGTTATGTGAAAAAATGGTTGATCACATACGCCGCACCATTCTTCGGGTGGGACAGTCTTCGAGTCAATTTGGAATTTAAGTACGTAACTAAAACTATGGACATTTTCTTTAGCTTTTCACACATTAAATTGAACATTTAAATTTCACTTTCATTTATTCAGAGGTGTGGTTGCTGTATCAGTTGATATGCTTCAAATGGACATTAATCAATGCGATGATAATTATTATGTGCCTAATGCATTCAAAGGTACACATAAATGTGATCGAAAGACATCATACGTAAGTGTTGCTAAAACCAAATTCGAACATATCTCTTTGAAATCTTAATTTGCTTATATTTTGCGGTCAATTAGTGTGTGCCAATTTTGGGACGTCTATTCACAACTGGCGGATACAAATGTGAATGCTTGCAAGGCTATGAATATCCATTTGAAGATCTGATTACGTATTATGATGGTCAATTGGTCGAAGCTGAATTCGAGAATATTGTCAACGATGAGAAGACACGCTTTGATCTATACCAGTGTCGTTTGGCTGGAGCAAACAGTTTACAAGCAACATTACTTACTGTTGTCGTTAGTGCCTTAATAATTTACACATTATCACTATTCCGAACGAATCGTCGGGCGTAGAGTGGATTCATTCGAAGAAAAATCACGCCAAAAAACATTTATTTGCAAAAGAAAAATATTCAAAAATACTGAAATAATTTCGAATATTAAAAACGAAAAGAAAATTTTTACATTCCGTCCTCAAAAAAAAAATGACAATTAGTTAGTAAGTGAGAACTTAATTGAGTCACTCGTACAAAAACAAAGCATATATATGTATATGTACATGGAAGAATATATTTTGCCAATTATTAATTGGTTGCTCTAATCGTATAGTTAGGTCTCGACATTAGGATATACATTTTTTTTTAACCGATACACAGGATGTATTCAATTCTATTTGACAGAAATCGACTCTTTTTTTATAAAATTTCTAGATTTTTCTTTGACAAGATAAATAGCACAAATTGTATTTTAACAACGAAAGAGAGAAATAATGTTTATGAATCTCATACTATAGTATTTCATAAAATCTCATTCATCTCGGTCAATTTTTTCATGCATTGAAATCGACATTTTTTTTTAAAACGCCGAGCTATTTTACACAAGCACAAAATAAGCATATGAGAATTACCGATTTTTGTTTTAAAAGCAATATTATGTACACACTCCGTCCACTTCGATATTTTGTATATAAGATTTGAAATCTGTGAACAAATTTAATAAAGAGATACATTCTTCTACCAATGAATGCAGTATTACCGAAGTATTTTAACAAACAAAAAAAAAGACAAAGAAGAAAAAAACCAATTTCATTTTATTTGTACTGACTTATGGAAGAATTTATTTTTATAAAATTGACACATGTTTTTGTTTAAATTTTTTAAAGAATTCAATACAAATTCGATGTTTTTAATTTAAAATAGGTATATAATCAGAATTTCGATGAGAAAATAAAAAGGTACCGCACCAATTTTATAATATATGTGAATGTTTAACATGTGGAAAAAAGAAATAGAAACAAATTGAAAAATCTCTCCATAACAACAAATAAATATATTCTAAAATCGAATTTTAAATCGATGAATTGATCTTATTACTGAGATTGTTTCGATTTATCACTTAAATAATTGTAATTAATAAATCTAGCACCTTGAGTTCCTTGTGCGGAAAAATTTGTAAAATGGCATGCAAATAGAAGTAAATTGCGTGGTTGCACTTTCCAGGCGAATCGCATAAATACGGCTGAATACAGTGTTAACGCTATATGGCGAAAAGAGAAGAGACGATACAAAATGAATACAGGTTTTTAACTGCAAATCAACTAACTGATAACAGCTAAATAAACAATTCGATTTAATTACCAAGTGTCATTTTTCCACTGATGAATTTTGGATCTTTCCGAATATCAGCCAATGCAGCTATTGGTATACCCCAATTTGCAATTGGACCCCAGAAATGTGTGCTGGATGTGTTTAATTTTGTGCGAAAAAATCACCAAACATTTGAATATTAATATGATTTACAAATCACAATCTAACTTACATAATATTTAAATTGATCAACTCACCTCATCAAATAGTCACGGAATTCTTTACTTTTTAAATTATTGAAAAACTTTTGTGCAAAGTTTTGAGCTACTTTTGGTGCTTGTTGTGCCATTTTGCAGTTTTAAATAATTCTTCGTTTGTGTCGAATTGAAAATGAATATCGTAAGTTTTAAACAACTTTTATGTGAATATTAAAAAAAAATATATACGAGAATCTGAATTATAATACACTCGACACATTCGTCAAATGTCAATGTTATAATGTACACACTGCTTTTAGAGGTTATGTCACTTTGAATCGAGTTGACAGTTCAGCCGTTATGCATTCGCCTTTCTTCCAAAAATGATAACAACCATCTGCGGTTATACAATATGCTTTAATTTTTTTTCCATTTGACTTCATGAGCTCAATGGCACGGCAATTCATGCGATTAAGCGTAGAGATTACATTTGCATAAGCGAATCAAACCATTTTTGATGTATTTTTTGCCATGTAATTTTCGAAAATGTTGATAAGAACATGATGAACACGCGCGTGCCCTTTCAAATTTCGTCCTACCACAATGTGAGAAAGGAATGAAATGAAAATTGGTAATATTTTGCAATGGTCATGCACGAGTCCACCATTATGTGCGTGATTACTTCTTCAGAGCTCGATTTATGGTGAATTCTTTTCTCCCTCGCAATGGGCTCAACAATAGCTAAACCAATAATTATCGCTTTGCCAATTATGTTGAATAACGGTAATTTTCTATAGTTTGAATGCGTAAAATGGTTTTTTTTTTTTGTTGTTTCAAAATCAAATCTTAGTGATATCAACTACTTCAATGCAATTTAAATGACTGTATTTGCGTGCAATCAAAAACTTTTTATAAATTCATACAAGAAAAAAAGAAAACTTTTTTATGCTTAGTTCGAATGTTTAATGTACGTGCAAATACAAGATAGTTTCTGAAACACTTAAATAAGGCCATTACATTACCATAGACCACAACAGAGAGCTGTCGCTCAAAACAACTGTTCAGTTGAAAAATGTCGATTTTGCGCATTGGTCGCTTTCATCACCCATTTTCCATCAAAAGCCAACCATAGTCTGTTATCAATGTTCGCAATCAAGCTCAATGTGTTGTTCAGTTTAAATTTGTTCCTATCTCAAATCTATATTTAGCTGATTTGCAGCGAATTTCATTCGAAATATACATAACATTTTTTTTTTGTAATAAATTAAATTTTAAATAAAGGTGAATATTTTAATGTTAATTTTATAAATGGAATACACTTTTTTTACATCTAAGTCTATAAAATAGATTCATTGGTGTCTTGTGCTGTTGATTTGTTTGTAGCTTGTTGTTCTTTTGATGAAAACGTCGCTTCCAACTTACGTCACGATAATAATCAAAAGGAATTATAGATATTTTAAAATTTATTTGAATCATAAAAGTGTATAACAAACATAAACAGTCGCATTCGATATACAGTAAGAGAGGCCCAAAAACTGTCCCAATTGTACAAAACGAAATGTATTGCTCTTGTAAAGGTTGCGCTCATTTTAGTTGTTTTTGTTTTGTATCGAACATTCAGAGCGAGAATGTTTAAATCGAGTGGAAAATGAAATAGAAACGAGTCAACCAAATGGGTAAATTTCAAACATAAAAGAGTGGTTCTAAGCTCAATCGATTTTTATATGCGTGCCAAAAAATACCAAAAATAAACATAACCGATTTGAGTACTTGTAGCATGTGTATGCTTTTACCACACACTTGTTTTGGTTTTTGTCATAATATATTTTTTTGGCTATAGTCTGAGTATTTATAATTTGAAGTACATTGTAACGAGTCTGACATTCCATTTTCTCGTTCTAAATCACCAATTATCCATGTATGATGTCGCGTTCGGGGAGGACGGTTAAGCTTCTGTATATGTTTGTGTATATGTGTGTGTGTGTGGGTTTGATACTTTTATGCGAAATAATTAATACTGATGTGGTATTGAATGTAATGAACCAAGTGAAAAGTCAATTGTTGCAAGACATCGTTAAAAATTATCTACCTTAATAGTATTTTTATAATTATCTACTAATAAATATTGTTCATTTTCTATTTCGCATTGTTAATTAATTACCATACGATGGTTGTGAAGCAAGAATAAAAATCAAACAAAGAAGAAGTTTTCCAACCGAAAGTCAACGTGAAATTGATAACAGTGTGCAGAATATGAAGAGTGTCTATAATAATTCATTGTAATAAAGGATGTTGTGTGTCCTTCAATCGTACCATCGAATTCAATAGTAGAACACTTCAAAAACACACACACACACAAACACAAAAAGCTCATTTCGTTTAGCGAAATGACTCGCGATAATAACGAAATACCAGCCATTTTTAATCCGAAACGTGTACGAGCTCCTTCAGTAGTTGTTACAAATGATTCGCCAAATGGTTCATTTGCTGGCGGCGGATTTACCAATATTCTTCATTCAAGCAATCCACAAATCTCACGTTCCGATTCGATAAGTCAACCCAACGAGAGAAACACCGATGGTAATCAAAATACAAACGCTACAACTACAATGACAATGACAATGACAACAACTACCACAACGACGGCTGTTGCAGTAACGACGGCAGCCTCAGCAAATAACAATAATACAACAACAGTCACCACCAGCAAGTGAGTTAACAAAAACACCAAAATATTGTGATTCTTGTTTTTATTTGGCTTCGATTCTAATCAACAATTAAATTTAACAAACAAAAAAAAACAAAAAGCAATTAAATTTATTGGTTGTGTCCTAGTACGCCGTTGGCGATTGGCAATGATGTGAATTCGAGAAAATTGGCAAAATGTAAGGACTCCTGTTGTTCCGAACTCGCTCAAAAGGTAATTTTTTTGCACAACATTTCGCCAATGTCTCATCCGATTTTTAAAAAAAAATCGTTTCGTTCAGATGTATTTTGGTGTATGCGTGACAATTTTGGTAACGGCAAGCTGGGTTGGTGCAACACATTGTATCAAATTTTTGTATGTGTATCAAAATTCATCGCAATATTCGTCGGTCACATCGCCATCGGTGATTTCAACACACGATAATTTTTTTTATGGTGCTAACTTCGAAAATGATACAAACGATATATTTCAAATATCGGCCACCATACCGAAAATGTCATCGGTGACAACGAACAGCGGAAAACGTTATACGGAATCTGAATTTAATGCACCATTTTTTGCATCATGGTTTTGCACGAATTTTGTGCTATTGTTTTATCCAATATTCTTAGTTGGACGATTGATGACAAACAATTGCAACGAAAGTCCTGGCGAAATTTTTGGTAACATATTGCGGGGTTTTCGTGATCGTGGTTTTACACTTGGACGATTCTTCAATCGTTGCATTGTGTTTTGTTTATTGTGGTTGATCACAACCTATTTATACATGTTATCGCTACGACCATTGTTAGCTACAGACGCGATGTCGCTGTTTGCCACAAATGTAGCCAGTGCGTATCTATTGTCATGGGTTATTCTGCACGAACAGTTTGTCGGTATACGGGTATGTAATGCAATATAAAGAACAAATTGTCTTTTTCTAGAGATAACCGAATTGACCATTTTCCAATTTTAATTTCGTTCTTTTCAGATTGTTGCTGTTATTTTGGTAAGTGGAAATGCCGTTGTTTAAAGAATGTTTATGCAGAACCACTTATTTTTGTTTCCCCTTGAATGTGCAGTGTGATACAGGTATTGCGCTATTGGCTTATATGGATGGCATAACTGGTAGCCCAACATTGGGTGGCGTTGTTTTGGCCACAATTTCTGGTGCTGCATATGCAGTGTTCAAAGTGAGTTTCACACACATTCAAACCGATTACCATGAAAATGTAAATGCATGCGATGTTTTGTTTATTTGATGACAGGTGATGTTTCGGAAAGTTATTGGCGATCCGCCAGTGCCAATGATCGCATTCGCGTTTACAATAATAGGTTTAATCAATTTAACACTATGTTGGCCGATACCATTGGGTCTGTATTTAAGCGGTACGGAAGTGATGCCGATGGAAAGTTTATTCTGGATTGATTTGTTAATTGCAAGCATTTTAATGTTGAGTAAGTGAAACAAAATCGTTGCAACGTGCGTTTGTGACGATGTGAAAAAATCAATAAGATTTCATCTGATTAATTTTTCTAAATGGTTCCCTTTGGCAGTGTTCCATATTTTGACACAATTCAGTGCAGCTGTTACCTATAGCATGTTTGTTACTCTGGGATTAATTACAAGTGTTCCAGTTTCAGCGGGTAAATTTTGCATTAGACTTAGTTCACTGAATGATAAAAATCCTCGAAAAACTTCCTTTTTTTTGTTTATGTGTGTTTACAGCGCTCGATATTGTTTTGTATGGTGCAAATTTTGCTGGCATGAAATTAGCCGGAGTGATTTTAATAGCAATTGGATTCTTTCTAGTTATGTGAGTATTGAATTCATTTTGTTTTTTATTCGAAAATACTTTTTAAAACTCACTTTTTTCATTGTCCAGGTTTCCAAATAATTGGCCGGATTATATAACTCGTTTGCTCAGGTAATAAAAACAATTGTGTTAGTCATTTGAAAAGGGTAAACCAACGTTGATATTTCCC